AGGAGTTCCCCAGGGGACCCTGTGCTGTGTTGACTGTGTGCAAGGCGAGCACCCTACCCGCTGTACTATCCCTACAGCCTTTATCTCAATTTTTTTTTTGGTCACACCCGGCAATGCACAGGGGTTACTCCTGTACTCCTGGCTCTGCACTCAGGAATCACCCCTGGTGGTGCTCAGGGGACCATATGGGATGCTGGGAATCGAACTCAGGTCGGCCACGTGCAAGGCAGACGCCCTACCCGCTGTGCTATCGCTCCAGCCCCTTTATCTCAAATTTTTAAAGGAAAATGGATTAGACGCTAAAAACAAAAATCAGTCACCGCTGTCTACCCATCTCATGAGGATTAAAAGGACCAACTACAGCACATCGCTATAATATTTTTTAAGTGACAAAGAGATTTGGAATGCAATTTTTTCTGATGAAAAGATTAATAAAGGTTCTTAAGCTATTTTTTAGGCCACCGAGACAGTCTTCCACAATGCAAAACTCTGAAATAGTTGCACTGAGTAGAAGACAGACGTGTGTAGCCTTAGGCCAATTCAAATCAGGTTTTGTCACCAAATGAACTTGCTGTGAGCTCAGAAGAAAACTGTATTTTTCAATCTCTTAAATTCCATTGTTTTAGACACCTAATTTCTTTATCTTTGGCTGACAGAAATAAAATGCAGTACACAAAGATGCAGAGCAATATTCATTGTAACAGTATTAAAAAAAATTAGGAGCAGAAAGTTAATAGAGCAGGTAGGTTATGCATTGCACACAGCTGAGCCGGCTTCAGTCCCACCCACCCTTGGGTCCCCATTCAAGCACTGCCAGGATAATTCTCAAGCACAGAGCCAGCAGGAAGCCCTGAGCACTCTTGAGTATGGCCCGAAAGCAGAACGAATGAAAAATATCTCAGTGCTGGGAGGCCTTTGAGGGTGTAGCCAGGCTACATAAGCACCCCCACCAGATTCCACCTTCTCTCTTGGAGGCTGTGAAACGGCTCGGATGAGATCACTCATCACCCATCACCTCCCCCCCTCCCTTGAAGTTGTGTTTACTCAGTGTCGCAAAACAGCTGCAGCTTTTTCTTGTTGCAATTTCAGAGGAAGTATTCCGTTACTAAAACTTATTCCCTAGAAGCAGCATCAGAGCTGACCGAAGATGAAAAAACCACCACCTTCGTGTCTGATTAATTTGTGCTGTGTACAAGACCCTGCTTTAAATTCCCTTCCAATGTATACCCCTGACTCCATAGTGTACCAGACAGACTATCACTAGGACAGAGTTATCAAAAAGATGCATTTAATAGTTGTTTATTTATAAAAAAGAAGCTGCGATACAGAGGCCCAGACTAAAATGGTTAATCAAAATTCAGTAAACACAATAATGGTACCCTGGGGCCGGAGAAATAGCATAGGGGTCAGGGTGCTTGACTTACATGCAACCGACCTGGGTTCAATCATTGGCATCACATATGAGCAATCTGAGTACTGTCAGGAGCGATCCCTGAGCACAGAGCCAGGAGTAAGCCCTGAGCACAGCTGGGTATGGCCCACCACCATCCCTCACCCCTGCACCTCCTGCAAAAACTAAAACTTGGCTAGAAACTATTTATTCCTTTTCCTTTCACTTGCCTTTTTTAGCCTCAATTCATTCCCTTAGCCGGGTGAGCAGCCAGATCCTTTTCACCTGTCCCTCAGCCTGGCAGGCTGTTTATCATGAGACCACTCGTCCTCGGTAGCAGCGATGCTCCAGCTCTCCAGCTCCCGGAGACAATGCAGACGCCCGGACAGTCTCCTGGGATTCGGGACACAAAACTTAGAGAAAAACAAGAAAAAGGCCATAGGAGAATTTTGCAGAAGCACTGGCACCCTGGAGTTGCTTTCTGCATTCCCGATAGCACAGCATGTAGGGCGTTTGCCTTGCACGTGGCCGACCTGGGTTTGATTCCTCCGACCTTCTCAGAGAGTCTGGCAAGCTACTGAGAGTATCCCGCCCACACGGCGGAGCCTGGCAAGGTACTCTTGGTGTGTTCGATAAGCCAAAAACACTAACAAGTCTCACAACGGAGATGTCACTGGAGCCTGCTCGAGCAAATTGATGAACAACGGGAAGACAGTGCTACGGGGCTATTCCCCTAGCACAGGACCCGTGAGTTTTCAATTCTCCTTCTTAAGGGGTGTGAGCACCTTTGGCAGGTCTCCTCTTCAGCAGACAAGGTCTTGCACGTTTCTGCAGACTGCATTGAAAGCCAGAGTGAGGGGCCAGAGTGAGAGTACAGTGGGTAGGGAGCTTTACAACGGCCTGGATCTCCCACATCCTATAAAGTTCCCCCAAGCCCACCAGAAGTGATTCCCCCAAGTACAGAGTCAGTAACCCCTGGGCACTGCCGGGTGTGGCCCAACTCCCCCCTCCCCCCAAAAAAGAAAAGAAAACAGAAAACCAAGGAATGGTATAAGCTTCTGGGTGCTCCTATGTATGGTGCTTTTGTGGACTTGGCCCAAGGACACCAATGCCATTTCCCTCTTGGATCTTTGATCTCCCAGTGTGCTGAGTCATCTAGTTCCTCAGCACCATGTCTGTGGGGACCCTTATACACTGCGGACTCTATTCATGTCTTGGTTTTTTATTTTTTATTTATTTATTTTTTTGGCTTTTGGGGTCACACCTGGTGATATTCGGAGCTCACTCCTGGCTCTGCACTCAGGAATCACTCCTGGTGGTGCTCAGGGGACCCTATGGGCCGTCAGGGATGGAACCCGGGTCAGCTGCATGCAAGGAAAATGCCCTGCCTGCTGTCCTATTGCTCTTGCCTCACTTGCTGTCTCTGCTGATCCCCACTGACCTTTATTATTTATTTATGATTTAGACTTTCTTGGGTCACACCTGGTGATGCTCAGGGGTTACTTCTGGCTCTGCACTTAGGAATCACTTCTGGTGTTGCTCGGGGGACCATATGGGATGCCAGAGATTGAACCCAGGTCAGGGCAAGGCAAACTCCCTACCCACCGTACTATCCCTCCAACTCCTATCCGTGTCATGTAAGGATGTCGCCCCGTTTATGAGAGGGAGGGCTCTATCCCCAGGAACTAATCCCTACAGAGACTAACTGTGGCACATCACTATAATATTTATTGTCAATGAGATATGGAATCCAATATTTTTTCTGATGAAAAGATTAAACAAGGTTCTTAAACCAATGCCCCACCTGCTGGTCCCATCACTACTCATGACATTATTAAAAGGGGGAGGGGGAGACGAGACAAATATTCAGACTAGAGCAAAAATATTTTGAGCAACAGGACTAGATGAGCGCTCCTAGACAAAGATCAGAAACAGGTTGGCCCTGAGTCTACCCAGAAGCTAAGGGAAGAGGAAGAGATATTCCTGCCACACTCCGACCCTTTCCGTGGAACCAAGCCTGAACTCCACAGACCATCTGAGGAAAGTCAAGGCAGGTGGTTCCCACAGCCTTCCTCTGCCTGCCTCTCCATCCTGAAAAAATCTCTCTCTGCTTCGTCCTTCTGGCGCCCGAAGGTAGAGAACGTGTATGTCGAGCACTAATGGGTAAAGCAGAAACCAAGACTGGGGATATTGGTTTTCTTTTTTTATTTATTTTTTGCTTTTTGGGTCACACTTGGCAATGCACAGGGGTTACTCCTGGCTCATGCACTCAGGAATTACTCCTAGCAGTGCTCGGGGGACCATACCGGGTGCTGGGAATCGAACCTGGATTGGCTGCATGCAAAGCAAACGTCCTACCCACTGTGCTATCACTCCAGCCCGGATGTTGGGTTTTACTTCTGTAAAATGTCGAGATCCACCCAGCAGCAAACGAGGTGATGAGGGTAATACTGTCCCTGGAGTCTCCAGGTCTCAAAACTGGCATCTCAAAACTTCTCCAGCGTCTTACTTTTCTTTCTTTTTATTTCCTTTTTTTTTTTTTTTTTTTTTTTTTTTTGCTTTTAGTGTCACACCCGGTAATGCACAGGGGTTACTCCTGGCTCTGAACTCAGGAATTACTCCATTACTCCTAGAGGTGCTAAGGGGAACATATGGGATGCTGGGAATCGAACCCGGGTTGGCCACATGCGAGGCAAACGCCCTACCTGCTGTGCTATCGCTCCAGCCCCCTGTGTCTCACTTTTATGAGCTACCTTGACGATCAGCTTCTGCAACCCGATGGCCGCCCCATGGGAGCGTGTCCACATAGGAACGCTTTTGAGAGTGAAGACAGTGATTTGAAAACCTGACCTAGGTAAGGAAAACTAGACACAGATCCCTTAGCCTCCCGCACCCTGGTTCGCAGGTAACGTCAATTCATCTCTCCTCACACCCACCAAAGAGGGAATTGAAGGAGGGGAAAGAGGTCTCCAGCGTGGGCCAGTTACATCACAATCACCGCCAGCCATTGTTGAAGAATAGTGTTCCCACGGTTCTGTAGGAATCTTCCAGATGGGCACTTACACACCTTTGCTTTGCAGACAGCCCTGGATGATTCTGTGGGCCAGCTGGGTCTGGGCACCTCTGTGGTAGCTGTCTTCTGGGGCTAAGGAGCTGCCAAACTGGCTGTTGGATTGGTCCCTCCAGTGTCTGTGGGGAATCCCTGGCCTCTCCCGGAAGTGAGTGTTGGGGGGCCCCAGGGAATCAGGAGAAAAAGAAGGTTGCCACCTTGTGTATTTTTTCCTAAAGCTCTATAGGTCTCGACCACAGTTCTCTGGTGCTCTGATGTGGTTCTAAAACACAACACAAGCTCCAAACCCTCCTTCCGGGACCCTGGGCAGGTGACCTGGGAGAGATGATAACAGCAAACCAGTCTTTTCCTCCCCTGGGTGAGGCAGGGAAAACTCTCTCCCTGCCTCAAGCTGAGGTGGTGCGGTCTGTTACCTTGGAGACCAGCTAACAACTTCCTGCTGTTTGCAAGCTTCATGAAGTTGCCTGAAAGAGCTAGAATCAGGACCCAGGAAAAGCAGGTCCCCGGGATATCCAGGGGCCTTCTCCCAAAGGTGGAGAAATGAATGGAGACCTGCAGGTGAGGGTGTGCGTTATCAGGGTGACCGGGAAGGGCAGGGAACCTAGGTGGTTAGAGATTCCGGTGTGGGCACCTTAAGACACTAAGGTCTGGGCTGAGTGAGAAATATTCAGAGAGCCAAGAGGGTTAAGCATCTCCTCCCTATGCGCTAGACACAATACTAAGTGCTCAAGGTACAACACTTGGCAAGGAATAGGGTTACTAGGGAGAAACCCCTCCTGACAGAAGACCGCCAGAATGAGAGGTGGAAATGGTTTCCTTAGCAAACTGTGTCCAGCCAAGGAGGGTCAGGAAGAACTTCCCTGGGTTTCCTTGTCCCACTAAGGACAAAAGCATTTTTTTCTTTTAGCAATTTATTTTTCCCCAAAATCAGAAATGTTGGTAATTTTCCATCTTTCTACATTCCTTAACTTCCAATATATTTCCATTTTTTTTTAATTTTTAATTTTATTGAATCACCGTGAGAAAGTTACAAGCTTTCATGTTTGGGTTACAATCATACAATGATCAAACTACAAAAGCATTTCTAGCAGGTCTGACTAATGATATAGAGTGATTTTTTTAAAAAAAGTATGTGGCTGTAGGCGAGCGATAGCACAGCATGTAGGCTGTTTGCTCTGCACGCGGCTGACCCGGGTTCGATTCCTCCGCCCCTTTTGGAGAGCCCGGCAAGCTACTGAGAATATTCTGCCCGCAGGGCAAAGCCTATCAAGCTACCCATGACATATTTGATATGCCAAAAACAGTAATAAGTCTCACAGTGGAGACGTTACTGGTGCCTTCTCGAGTACATCGATGAACACAGTGGACAGTGAACAGTGTGTGGCAGTAGGGTTACTGCAGGGGCGGAAGGATGCAGCGTGAGATGGGGAAGCCAGGGAGGAAGAACTTCAGGAGGGAATGCTGGACCTCTCTGAGGCTGAATCCACGATCCCCAGTACCCAGGAGCCTTGGCCCGGTTGTAAACAGGCGGTGACGGGAACGATGCTGCCAAGTGGAAACCTTATTTTGCAGGACTGTCGGTAGATTGGAGGGAGCAAAGCCAACACTCGCTTGCAGTTAAACACATCAACCCTCGGGACTGATAGGACAGAGGGGAAGGCTCTTGCCTTGCATGCAGCACCCCACATAGTTCCCGAGCCTGCCAGGAGGGATCCCTGCGTGCAGAGCCAGGAGCAAGCCCTGAGCACAATGAGGCATGGCCCAGAAAACAATCTAAACAATCTAAGGCCAGGGAAGACGGTTCAGGAGTTAGGGGCCATGCAGGTCCTAGCTCAGTCCCTGGTACCCCGTGGTCCCCAGAGCATCACAGGATGCAGACCTGGAGGCCCTGAGTATGCTGGGTTGCACACCCCACTTCATGGCCCTGGGGCCTCACATTAAACAGCTGCCCTGGATGGGCAAAAATCCCAGCAACGGCCTCTGCTCCCTGAGTCCCACGTAGGAGGTCCACAAGTTTTTAAGTGGAAAGGGGAGAAACCAGATCCATAGTATAGGAGGGAGGGCATTTGCCTTGCACACAGCCGACCCCGGTTTGGTCCTCAACATCCCATATAGTTCCCCAAGCAGCTAAAGAAGTAATTCCTGAGTGCAGAGCCCACCCCTGAGCATCACTGGGTGTGATCAAAAAAACCAAAACCAAACAAACAGAAAAAGCAAAGGGGAAGAAATTACAACTCCCAGAAATGGTTTTCTCTTCCATGAATATTTCAGAGATGCCTAGCTCCAGCTGTTAGCACTGTTTCATTGTTTATTTCTCTATTTTTTAATTTGGGGGCCACACCTGGCAGTGCTCAGGGCTTACTCCTGGCTCTGAACTCAGGGTTCACTTCTAGAGGGCATCGGGGGTCCCAGTGAGATGCCGGGAATCAAACCCGGGTCTGTTGCATGTAACCCCTGTGCCATCTCCCACCCCAACTCATCACTGTTGACACTTCACTTTTACAATGGCTGAGCTACATCCTGCCCCTATGGGACTGAGCACTGGTGGGCTCAGGCAGGGAGAGCAGAGCTGAGATGTGGGGAAGGATGCAGGGATGCTTTGTCCAACCTCAACAGGGAAGAGCTATTGAGAGAGGGTCCTTGAAGGCCTCTCGACCAGGATCTTGGGGCCAAGGGAAGTGCCAAACCCTCATGAACAACGCGGGGTGGACATGCTTTGTGCTGAGCTGCTTGTCGCTGGCCTTGTTCTCACCAGACTCTTGTGCATCATCAGTGTCACCTGGTCCTCCCGAGGCCACAGTGGAAACAAGCAGAGCAGTGGTTGTTCTCCCCAAGATCTGGTGCTCATTGAGCAGCTTCTTCCCTCTGCCTGCACAAGTCACCCCAAGCCAGCTGTGCAGGCCCCTTGAGCACAGAGTTCACTAGGAAGAGATGAGCGGGACAGCAGTCTGGCTCCACAGCAGGCAAAGTCCAAAGTCCAATATGCTCCTCAAGGTTCCCAGTGAAGGATCCTAAGGGAAAACCAGTTCAGACAAGTGTGTGTGTGTGTGTGTGTGTGTGTGTGTGTGTGTGTGTGTGTGTTAAATACATTGCCACATTATCTTGGTGTTACCCACAGCTCGAAACAACCTGTGAATAAGAAATTCAACATCCCAAAAAGAAAAGCAAATTGCCCAAGCAGCCACTGAACAGTTTTCTAAAAAATGTTCATGTATCAGGGCTGGAGCAATAGCACAGCGGGTAGGTTGTTTGCCTTGCATGCAGCTGACCCGGGTTCGATTCCCAGCATCCCATATGGGTCACCTGAGCACTACCAGGAGTAATTCCTGAGTGCAGAGCCAGGAGTAACCCCTGAGCATCGCTGGGTGTGACGGGAAAAAAAATTCATGTATCTGCCACTGCTTTCTTTGCTCTGTTTGTGGGGGTTTGCGGGGGGGGGGGAGCACTCCGGGGCTAGTCCTGGAACTCTGCTTAGGATTGACCTCTGGTGGTGCTTGGGGGACTCTATGCAGTTATGGGAGATTGAGCCAGGCTGGCCATGTGCTGTAAGTATAGAGGTTACTCTGTATTATCTCTGGCCCCTGCAACTCCTTCTCCCTTGCAGTGTCTCAGCAATGTTTTTTTTTTTCTGCTTTTTTTTGGGGGGAGGGTCACACCTGGCAATGCACAGGGGTTACTCCTGGCTCTGCACTCAGGAATTACCCCTGGCAGTGCTCAGGGGACCATATGGGATGCTGGGAATCGAACCCAGGTAGGCCACGTGCAAGGCAAACACCCTACTCGCTGTGCTATCTCTCCAGCCCTCAGCAATGTTTTTTGACCACAAGTTACAGAGCTAACCTAGGCAGGGGACTATCAGGAAGTGTGACTCTTGCACCAAGAGCAGAACATGAAGTCAGGTCTCACCCGAGGCTCGGATTAGTATTTAGAAATTCAAGGACCGGGCTCGAGCAATAGGACAGTGGGTAGGATGCTTGCCTTGCATGCAGCTGAGCTGGATTCGATTCCCAGAATCCCATATGGTCCCCTGAGCACCGCCGGGGGTAATTCCTGAGCGCAGAGCCAGGAGTAACCCCTGTGCATCGCTGGGTGTGACCCAAAAAGAAAAAAAAAATTCAAGGACCAACCAAGGCTATTTCTCGTCCTCTTTCCATCTCCCCACTCCCAAACATGTATTGTCTGCCAGTCTCCTGACCTCTCCACTCCAAGGGAGGGGGACACTGGCTTTAATTATTTATTTATGATTTAGACTTTCTTGGGTCACACCTGATGATGCTCAGGGGTTACTTCTGGCTCTGCACTCGGGAATTACTTCTGGCGGTGCTCGGGAACCATATGGGATGCTGGGGATCGAACCCGGGTTGGCCACATGCAAGGCAAACCACTCTACCCGCTGTGCTATTGCTCTGGCCCTGAGACAGTGTTTCTTAGAAGTCACGCTGCCGAGGGGCTGGAGCGATAGCACAGCGGGTAAGGCATTTTCCTTGCAATCGGCCGACCCAGGTTCGATTCCCAGCATCCCATATGGTCCCCTGAGCACCACCAGGAGTGATTCCTGAGTGCATGAGCCAGGAATAACCCCTGTGCATCGCCGGGTGTGACCCAAAAAGCAAAGAAAAAAAAAAAAGAAGTCATGCTGCCAAGTGCCACTTTTTTTTTTTTTTGATCACTTGCTGTCTTTCTTTTTTATTTTTGTTTGGTTTTGAGTTTTTGGTTTGTGGGCCACACCTGGTAATGCTCAAGGGTTGCTCCTGGCCCTGCACTCAGGAATCACTCCTGGTGGTGTTCAGGGTACCTTATGGGATGCCGGGGATCAAACCCGGGTCAGCCATGTGCAAGGCAAACACCCTCCCTGGTGTCCTCTAGCTCCTGCCTCACTCGCTGTCTCTGCCGAGCCCAGCTTTCCCTCTCTCTCAACAAAGCTGCTTCCTCTCCATCCTTTTGAAGGCCTCAGCTCAAAAGGGCACTGTAGCTGATCATCTTATGTGTGCTAAGTGGGTCCCTTTCCCAAGTCCTCTCTATTGCTTTGTATTTTGCTTCCTTTCTGGCACTCTCCCGCAGTGTGTAAATGCCACAGTGAGCTGTTCTGCCTTAGTTTCCCTCCTCTGGACTTTGAGAAGACAAAACAAGGCAGGGTTCAGGGACAGAGAGCGCGCCCAAGAGGTACAGCCCTGGCCACCTTCCTTGTGACGCGGCGACTATGGTCCTGGTTGAGAACCTCAGCAGCATGGATCATCCCTGAGCACCTCCAGGGATCACTCCTGAGCACAGAGACAGGAATTAACACATGAGCAACCAAAACCAGAAACAGCGCCCCAAATAACGCAGTGTCTAGCTCAGTGATTCTCATTTGGGGATGGTATGACCTTCAGAGACATTAGGTTCTGTCTTAGGCCATATTGAGCTTTTCAAATTTGGCAGGACGCAGGGCTGAAGTGAGAGTACATGGGTAGGGTGCTTGCCTGGCACGCAGCTGACCCAGGGTCGATCCCCGACACCCCATTTGGTCCTCCAAGCACTGCCAGAAGTGATCCCTGAGTGTGGCCAGCCCTGACCAA